GCCGGCAAAAATAGACCAAATACCCCGCTAGGCACGCATAGGACCCAGAGACATAACGGGGACGACTTCGAAGTAAGTGTTACGATCCTCGCACGCGAATCGAGAACACAGGCGCGAAAAACCCTCGAGGCACTCTGGATTAATTCCAGAAATCCGAAAATGAACCGCAGGGAAGAATGCCTCATTATCACGCGTGATATAGGGCAGTATATAAAACTGCTTTTCTGATGTGAGGGGACATTATACTTCCACGTGATTTCTGTGCGGTTGGTCTCTACGTGACATACTTAGTGGAGACCTCATAGAAAGCGGTGAGTGTGCAAAGCTGTTTTCAAAGTGATTGAAATCTTGGTTTGGGGTTTCTTTGTTTGGTTATGGAGGTGTCTGGCCGGGTGAGTTGCTATCAACTTGACCTTTCCAGGCTCTGAAGAAGGCGAAATTCGCCGAAACGTCAGCTTAATCGTGAACAAAGAACAATAACACCTCGCGTTTGCTCAAAAAAAAAATACGAATAAAAAAGTTGCCCATTACTACGCACCACGAGTCATCGATTAACTCGTGCGGGTGTCCGTAAAATATTCTCATCTCAGTATTTAAAATGTGCTCAGTTGTTTCCGTGGGTTCGAGTTACATGAAGAATACAGAATTTTTCGCACCCCACTTTCATAAAACTCTAATCACGGCGCCTGTAGCACAATGGCTAGGAGTTTCCTGTAATATACACGTGGTCATTGATTCGAACCTGCGTCCTAGGTTCACCAAGCCCGTCACCTCTCCGGGGTCGACAAATTAGCGCCAGGCTTTTTTTTAGTAAAATAGCAGTACTGATGCGGTACATCAGAAGGCTACTGCGAGTCATTGCATACTCCAGATATGCATTCAATAAGCTCTAATGGTGCCTACGAGCGTGTGTAGCGCACTTGTTAAAGGCTTAAAGGCTCCTTGCAATACAAATGGGATCGATCCCTCGCCCAAGGCTCACCAAGTCTTCGATCCGCCCGGAATCGGCAAATTTGTGCCAGAGTTGCCTGGGCGAAAAGCAACACTGATTCGATACATTGGTAGGCCACTACGAGTCATTGCGTATGCCACATACACATACAATCACCTCTAACGGTGCTGAATAAAGTGGAATGTATGGCACATCCCTCATAGATCGACCGACGAGGAAGGTTTTCTAACCTTAGCCTCTAACCACGCGCCTTTAGGTCTTCGTCCTTTACGCAGGCATTCGCATGCAGACACGTACGCATTCGCTAGTGGCTCTTCTCTGGTTTCTCTGGTTCCATCAATTGTTATTATGACTGGTAACGGCGCAAAATGATTTTCGTTGTCTTTCGCGTAAATGTAAATATCGCTGATCTGACAAGCCTCGTAGGTTGGAGCTCTAGATTCAGTCCATTTGCGCGATATGGAATATCTTTGGTACCACTCCTCCCTTCCCTGCATTCTATAACTCTAAACAAGCCTTCACCAGCAAACCGCATCAAGGAGAAATGCATACAGTTTTGATTCCCGTTCTGAAGAGATGTGAGCTGTACATGGCTTATAAGCAGTTTTAATTGATAAATACATATATATGAATGTGTATACATATGTCCTTCTCCCTAAGTAAAAATAAGGACTCGTATACGAAAGTATAGGCGCACACAACAAACGGTCATCTGTACTTTATACGGCTCAACGCCTAATGCGTGATTTTCCTGTCAGCAAGAAAATATACAGCAGTCACCTCCACTTATATACAGGAAATAAGATACTCTTTGAATCTATCGATTTAACCGGCTTACTGGGTAGTTCTGATAAAGAAGTACGAAGGATAACTTGTTCATATGGAGTAATACACCCTTACAAATTTGTCTATTCAAACTACCTAATCGGCTATACTTAAAATTCGTGTGAACTAGAAAAGATCCGGTCTCCTATAACTGAAATATGGAACCATGCCTTGCATGTGCTTAACAGCTTAGCTAGAACACCTGAAATCACCTTAAGAGCATCCAGATTCGTTGTCGGTTCATCTAATGCAATTATTGAACACATTCCGCCAAATACATCAGCCAAAGCCAAGCGAATAAGTATACATGCTAGCATCTGGAACAGCTAACGGTTCACTGCCGAAAAACAGTTCGATCCTAAACTCACAAGTTAATTGCCCATATTTCTAAGGTAAAAAAATTTCAACAAAAAACTGGGTTTAGAACAGTGATATGGTCACACCTCCCAACGGTTTACCGCCTCATCGTGGCTGGAAAGTGTTCCTGGGTGTCAGGTTGCGATGTTCAGCGGGGATTCATCCCCTGGCAGGGTCTCCCAAGCTGAGAAAGAGTCCGGCATTTAACCAAGAAGTCCAGCCAAGAGTAAACTAATACCAGGATCCACCATCGACTTGGTATCAAGGTCGCATGGTGGTAAATCTTCCTTTGATCTACAAGGACTACGACTGCTTATCATGATGACGACCTGGGGCAGACTTTGGCCAGGCTGTCCTCGGGATTCCAGGAAACCACAATGACATAACCAACAGAGCTCCGAAATATGATCATTATGCAGGGGCCCGCACAACTAGTGATGATGGGTCGTTCAAGTATCAAGTTCAAGTAAGATATGGATACAGCTACAAGGATGCTGAGACGTGGGCAAAACTCAACCTAATTCCAGATCATTCGCGTTGACGGGTGATTGCTGTGAGCACCGCTATAGTTTAAAAAAAACTGGCAACAGAAAGGTAAAGCAAGAGCCTTGGCTGGTGTGACGGACAGCAAGTGAGCTTTCGGTAAGGGATAATCGCGCATCGAAGCTCAACAAAGGTTCCAAGTTTTCCTCACACCTTAGCATCTTTGTGGTTGTATCTCACATCATACTCTACCATGAAAAAAGAATATGGAGCAAATAAAAGTTAAAACATAGTATAATTATAGCTTAAGCTGATAAACGAAACAAAAGTGAAATAACGGTAATTTTTTCTACATCAATCCACATTATTCACTATACGAATTCAAGAAAGCTCCTATGGAACAGCCAGATTTACTGAAATATGTTCTTTAACAATAGTGTTATACTTGGTTTACCTTCCATCACGTTCACAACAGCTCTACCAGCCGCTTTAATGGAACGAAATAAATTTGTAGCAAACTTTCGCGTGCAAGTGAAAATCAGTATTCTGTAAACGTACTTTCTGTCCAGCACTGCAGCGGTCCCTCATATCTAGCTCCACATTATTTCTAACTACCATGACCACTCTGTAGTCGTACACTTTACGTTTCTCAGAGGATGCTGCACATTCCGACCTGGGTAAAGAGGACTGCAGTTACCAATGTTTCAAGCATAGTGTAATAAAAGAAACGAACAAAATATATCAAAAGTCCATAAGCTGTAAAGCTTATTGAACTATGTTCTTTAACAAGCATATTACACTTGGTCGACCTGCTATCACCTTCGTGTTCAACGATTTCAAAGAAATGTGATAACTTTAAATGAAAATAAAGCTTTCAAGGCTACCACTATTCGCACAATTCATTCTCTTCTCATATGTAGTTTTTAAATCTACTGATAAACTGTGGTGAGTGATCGCTGTCCTAAGGAGAGCTACCCATGTCACAAATTCTTATCACAGATTACACTATGCACATACAGAGGACAGTTATAACAACGATGCAGCCAGTGCGAACTTGTGATTTCTTTAGTTTTTGTGAGATTGATGTACAGATCGTTTATAAGCATTATAAACTAGCTGAGAGATAGGCGAAACGAAGGACCGCATGATGTGGTGGTGAACGCGTTAGAGCCTGGAAAGGGTAATAGCGCGCTCGTTCGCCACTGCAGAAACCTGCGCTCCGGAATTTTGCAAACATCTCAGCATCACTGTGGTTGAAGTCACACATAATACCCTGCCGTGAAAAATTGTTATAGGAAGTAAATAAGTAAAAAGAGTTAACACTGCGATCTTAATTAAAAAAATATCTAAAAGGCACTCTAAGCTTCAAGGAAAAACCACAAGTTGGCCTCCATCTAAACTTGATTTCACAAAGATATGTCATGTACATACTTAATACTAATGCTATGAATATCGGTACCATCATATACTTTCCGCCATAAATCCTCCAAAATCCTGTTTATAGCAATCATTTTTTCTGTATGAAACTGTATGATACAAGTGTCAAGACACTGCATGTATTTCTCCAAATCCTAAAAATAAGAAAAGAGAAGAAATCAATACATAAATATCAAGCAATCCTTAAAAAACTAAAATTACCAACTAACAGTAATCATCTCCTGCGTGACAATTTTTTCAATGATGACTTCGTGATAAAGACCCTCTGCCTGCTTCATTTCTTTGCTTGATAGCGCCAAAGATGCCTCGTTAATCTAAAAGCTACTCGGAAAAGATGATTAGCATTGAAAACCGCGGAAAATTAAAGCGAAACCTTCTTGTCCACTTCTTCTAGCTGACCAGTAAGCCGCGCTTTCTCTAAGCTGGATTCATCACGCTCTTTGATAGCCTTCTGCGAAAAGTGGAAATCAACAATGAATGTCAACAATTGTAGAGTTCTAGATAGAAAATTAACGCCTTTAAGTGCGTAAAAAACAAGAGCTTAACTTATTGACAAAATTATTAGGAAAGTTTACTACAGCAAGCATTCGGCAGCACCTTCCTCAGACCTGGCAGTCCACATGCCGACATTAATTATTCCTCGAGATATACAAATTTTTGCACTTGCATCGAATCGAATCGAGTGCAGTGAAGCAAGATACAGTTTAAAAACCTCATTCGACCATGCTCTTTCAAAAAAAAAAGTTCTTAACCTAAAGCACATCCAAGACTAGTCGCCTTCGAGAAGACAACCCATTTTGCAGCAGCCGCAAATATATCAGTCGATAGACAGAGAACCGATACTTGTCCCTGCTGCAAGAGCAGTCCAGCGAGTTCTGTTCGCTTCACGACCTCGAATCATAGCTTTCATCTAAGATTTTCGAGAATTCTGACCATTGGGTCCGTGATGTTCCCGCTGTGCACTTGATATTCCGAGAAATCCAGTCGCCAGCAGGTCTTGTGGATCGGTTTTCATTAACGCGCATTACGTATCCAGCTCACCATACCACGGACAATTTGAAATAGAGAAAATGTCTTCGATTTTTAATCGTTGACGTAATTCGAAAGTTCGGACCCTTCCAAATTCCGTGATGCGGGAAACTCGCAGCATCGGCTTCTTCGACCGCGAGTTATATAACTTCGACAGATCTTTTATTCTACTTACGTATCGACCACGTTTTTGATCTATACGTTAAACCAGCACCGTGGAGTCGGGTTTTCCTTGCTCTCCTCACTGCATCTTCCATGCTGTTGAAGACTCTACAAGCCGCTCGAACCCTCCTGCTCCACTCTGGAGCCACAGCGTTCATTGTGTTGATTTTACGATCTAGATAGACGTGGCTGGATGATTCAGAGATATTTATTCCGAAGAGCGTGAATGGGGCAAATGAAACCAATCTTTTTCCATGAACATCGTTTTTGCGATATTTGGTCGAAGATCAATCTTTCCACAGTCGTTATCAAAGTCGACAAACATACGTTTCCCCTGTTTCCTATTAAAACAACGATGCCATCATCTTTACAAAGTAGTAGTATTTTTGCCGTGAAGTTTTTATATAACCCACGAAGATTTCTTTTACTGAGTAGGAACAACCTAGCTGTTCAGGGCTTCCATACAATCTCCATCGATTTCAGAAGGAAAAACCAGGGAGCATATCCAATTTCTTTCATTCCCTACAAAGGAGAACATGGCTATCGAAGAGATACGACTAAAAACTGTGAATGATTTTCTCCATTGCCTTTCCGAAATTTGCAACTATTCGATCACGGCGTTGGCGCGCAAACATCTAGGTCTAGTGACTGGTCAAGTTTCGGTGGAATTTGAGAATGCTCTAACAAGCTTCTGCTGTTTCAGCAACAGGTGATGTTCCGCTTTATATAAGATCTCCTTTTATCGCCTTTCTGCAGTGTTTTTCGCAAGTCCAAACATGAGTTTGCGTTTCCCTACAGTTGGTGGGCCTGCAAGTTGCCGTATTAGCTCGAGTTTCTGAAAACGGTTGTCTTCTATTGACTTTCAAAACTCTCAGCCTATATAGTATCATAGGTTGATGTCGGTTCATGGGCGAAGAAAGTCGTCAGAGCCGGTATTAATCCACATCTCTTCAACCGTGAGCGTTCGATTCGGGTTGATAGTTGTTCGAATAAATCGGTGTTCATTTCCAAACTCGAGTTGAGTAGAACGTCGACGTCACCAACTCCTCTATTGTCGTATATTCCGAAGAACAGGCTTTCTCCAGTGTCAAACGGGGCGTTAAACGAGCTGCATCTGCGCGTCTCAGCCAGTCCGATAACGAAACATCTTATCTTTGTTGTCTGTATGACCACGTCCTCTATAGAGGACTCAGCTGAAGGTAAGCGTACATTGCATTTATAAACCGCCACGTGCCCTTGAATATTTAGGCAGCCTACGACTGCGTTGAGATTAAAGCAACCTCTCCGTACTCATCCTACGCAACGCTGTCGTAATGGAGACTCTTTCAGGGTCAGGGAGTGAAGCTCACTTATTTTACTACCTAGTTTTCGATACCCACGTATGGTTTGCAGAGCTCTGAATGTGGAGGATGGGTACACACTCACGGTAGCCTGCCAATCTATCCGACCTGGATCCACCTGTGTCTGTGGGAAGCATAAAGTCGCTTTTGGTCCGCTACTAATCGGAAATCAGATAGCCACCTGAGACACACCTCATTGTCTTGCGACTAATTGGAGACCTGTAAAGGAGATTCATGATGTGATATGATATGTCTTAGCTGTGAGGAAGATCCGTTGAGATTCGCTACACATCGGCTAATGTAATTGCGACTGCTGAAGTATGAATTCTTTTCAGGAAAACATAATCTTGTATGAGCAAATCAGTCAAGAACCATACCGCATAAAAGGGAAATGCAAAGTGGGGTTGTATCATTCGTTCGATCTTAGGTCCCACTCGATTCTACTGATTAAGAGGACCAAAACAATGCAAACTTGCACTTGCACCAAACTTGGACCAAACTTGCAAATAATAGATACTCGACTCACACCTCTGAGGGTCCGAATAAGGCGATGGAGTTGAATTGTTATCCACAATTACGTATTTTCAAAAGAACCTTTAGTAAGCTTATCAAAAAGAGGACGTAGTGAATCTTCTAGATAATGCACGAAATGGAAATAGGTTTTTCTAACAATAAAATAGCAGGCAATTAATGACATACGTAACACTTAAGCCACCAATTACTTCAAAATCAAAAATGCAAGATGATGGTGCTTTAAACGGACTCACTTCTCGCTGTCGGTAAAATCCTTCTTTGTCATTACCAATACATGCCACTTCAGAAAGCTCTTGTTCAGTTTTTGCAATTTTTGACTCAATCAGCTTACGGGTTAACTGATCTTCAAGAATTCTCCGCTTAGAGTGCTGAGAAAAAATTGCAAATAAGTAAGTATATTGGTGAGAAATCGGAACAAAAAGAAGCAAAAAAAAAAAAGAAAAAGTGGTTAAAAATGGAAACAAAAAACACGAGTAAAGAAGAAAAAAAGTAGATAGAAAATCATATAATAACTACAACGACTACATAAAAATACCGAGCAATTCCAGAAATTACCTCTGAATTAACTCTTAATGAAGACCAATGCCTAATGTGTCAACATTCGAAAAGAATTCAGCTGTATGAACAGCATATAAACTATCACTGAAGTCTGACAGGTCAGTCAGCAATAATGCTCGATACCCGCCCTACTAGTTTCAACTTTCGTGAACTATAAAAAACAGCCAGCAATATTTAAACGGATAGTAGCCCACTGATACTGTATGATCATAAGAGTATGGCTGCCTCGTTTTTTCTTTTCCTTAAGTGCTACAGTGTGTAAGAATATCTGCTTCGACAACTTAGACGACTTCACCTTCACACCATTCACAATCGTAATACAATGCTTAAGCACTTACTTAATGGTACAGTGCATATAATTTATTCTTCCAAGTTTCCCATTTCTACGATGATCTTACATTCCTCGAAGTTATCAGTAACATGGTAACATAACAAATATGTCGAAACAAACCATGAAGAGCAACGAACGATTCTAAGAATTAAAACAAAAAAGAGGCATAGCGTCGGCAGTAACCAAAACCACAACATAGGAGTACTCTGGAGACTCAACCAGTAAAAGGAACAATGTGAAGGAAAAACTAGCTAGACAGCAGATCGAACAGTGTTCCATGTTTCAACTTCACGCCAAATCCATAGACAAGTGACGTACTCTGAAGGACTGCGGGATCAGCTACATCAAAAACTGCACAGCTTACAGCTAATGTGATTATAGGAGATATTTACAGACGAAGCTACTTCAATCGTAAATGGGATAGCACAACACACACTAGGACCTTAATTGACATAACCGACCAGATGTCAGGACCAAAGCGTGGGCCATCCGTATTGAATTAGAGTCCCATATGGAGACGCCAACTATATATCCAGTTATTGAAACAGAAGAAAACGTAATTCGTCATAAGATCCAATTCACTACACGTCCATTACATTTTTGCCCATTCTGTTTTGAAAAAAAACTGTATAGTGAGGCCGACCATCACGATAATGGTGCAATTTGGACTCTACTCCGGGCTCAGCAAGCCTCTGGAAGAGGGAAATTGTACCAGACTTGCATGGGGAAACTTGACTCGCTGCAATCCAATATGGCACCCTCTACCACAGCCATCTCAGGAATATAGGAAGAATCGACTCGACCATCATTCAACGACATCCATAAAGAAAACAACAATTCACAAGTAGCAGCCGAACTCACACGCAAAAAGTTGGAAGATCTTCGTGGATAATGGATAGGAGGAGACAAACCGAATGCAAGAATTGCAGGGACCCGCAAAATATATGTGATGACGGATCATGTAAAAGAAAATAAAATAAAATGAAGTAAAACGAAATAAAAAACCATATACCTAACTTGCACACACTGAACAAATGTTAACTTTACACAAAGAACAGCTTGAACTAAGAGCCAGTGTTTACACATTATACTCACAGAAAAGAAGATTAACAACAAACTGCCACTCACGCATCCTTCTAGGTCATTGATCCCAATTTCAAAACCAGCTTTTCTTCTTTCCAAATCGATAATTAACGCGTCTCGTTCGGCAACACGCCGATTTAGTGCTTCCACCCAAATACGATCACATTAAATAATTTGCATCTGAACTTAATAGTATGATCAATCTTTACCGTCTCACCGCCACCTGCCAATGATACCTTCGCCAATCTGTCGACTAAACTGACATAATTATTAAGACGATTGCGCATCCCTAAAAATGTGGACACATACAACGTTTAATGTATAACAATAAATTTTACATAACTCACCCCTAATTTCACTAAGCTTAATTTCTTCCTGCTCTTTGGCGAAACGTTCTGCGATGTCACGCGCATTTTTAGCTTGCTAAAAATATGAACCAACATTCTAAAACATTGAAAGAAAGAGAATGGTGCTTACTTAAAATAAATGAAACACAAAAAATCTCTGTGAAAACTTGGATCACCCTCTTCACTGATAGTGGAGGCACCAGCACAACTCTCATTCGTTTCTCTCTCGCGCAATCGTCGCCCATGGTAGTGGCCTGCTTCGAATGTCGTGAGGCCCTCGAAGCCCATTTCAATAGCTGTAAAATCGTTCCAATCTGCGAACGCAGAGTGTTGAGGTTATCTACGAGCACGTCCGCCAAACATTTGGGTGGTCATTAAAGCGGACGCTTGTATTTTCTTGAAATCCATTCCACTGTTCTTTTCTTGCATCTGTCGACTGTTCTCCTTACTGCATGATAGACCCATCTATGTTGCGCTATCAATGTATGTTCTCTTGGATCACTAAGAAGAGACAAATTTCGAAGATTAGAGCGCATTCCAGCTAGATGTTATGAGTGCCGATTAAATTTCAGAAGAGGTCGTTCAAGCACTCTTTGGGTGGTGCACAAGGTTCCTCAAGTAGTTGAAATATCAGCCCACGTCTCTGTTGTAAAACACAGCGAGCACCTTTGAGCCAAAAATGTGAGGTGGAATTCCGGAACCGTTAGTTAGCCAGCCGTTTCTTTGAAAGACCCGAATGGGACCCACGATGCTCTCCTTCCTCTGTTTGATTCCTCGATGACGTTATCTATTTTCACTAACCGCCCGAGGTACACGTTCGATTTATTCACCTTACTGCAAGGGTCCATGGTGAAGTGGGTCTTCGTACCCGTATACTCTCTCCCATCCTTTCTCTCGCTTCGTTGAGCTCGTTTAGTAATGCCTCTACTTCTTTGGTTCTTCTTGATAAGATTACGATGGCGTCGGAGAAACGAAGATTTGCTTGGAATTTTTCATCAATCTGTTTGCCGTCCTCACCACAACCTATTAACCTCATTACTCACTGCAGTGCGACGCCAAACAGATTTTGAGGTACGGTGTCACCTTATCGAACACCTTACCCTATAGATATGGTAATGGGTCGATAAAAAAGCTATATATTTTTGGCGAGGTCCCGATAACAGTCAGCTAGTGTTCGTATAGAGGAATGGCTCACTTCTTGCTCGACGAGCGCTGATAGGGTTGCGTTTATTTCGACGCTGTCAAGCGCTTTCTCGTAGTAGATAAAGGTTAGGATAAGAAGCAAATGCTGCTCCAGACAGACTTTTACGACCTGTGCTACGGTTTGGACGTGGTCCATGCAGTAGAATCCCTGTTGAACTCTTGCTTGCTCAACTTGTTGTGCCCCATCCAAACTTTCAGATGTGCACAAAATGATGATTTTCGTGAACAGTTGCAGTGCACGCTCAACAAACGTATTGGGCGGTAGTTGCGAAGATCATTTCGTTCATTACTTTTAGGCAGAATGATTGTGCTCGACGTCCTCTATTGGTATGGAAATTTCTCCTCGTGTCGGTAAGATATCATATGGGTTGCCAGAAGTACATGTAATTTGCGGTTTCCACCTCGAAGGAAGTGGGTTTTGATTTATCAGGTTCTGGAGCTTTGCCTCTATTGACGCTTTCTATAGCAGCTCGAAATCCAGAGGATAGAATACCGGGCGGCTTTTCAACAGCGTGGATTTTGGGGTCCGAGACGAGGGTTGTGGAGCGGGAAAGATTGGTAAAGAACTTCTCCGAGTGGTAGTCTCATCTTCGTTCAGTCTTTGTGGAAGAACTTCAGCTAACATTTTCGCAAACTTTGGAAACTTAACATAAATGAGTTTTCGCAAATGGACCCACATTTTACAACCATAGCAGTCAAGTAATACAAGTTTAATATGTAAACAATAGCAAAATGGCAGATGGCGACAAAATAAAAAGGAAATAAAAATTTTGGACAACATACATTAAGCACATTTCTAGCCCGCGGAAGATCCTGTTCTACAATTTCCCGATGACGTTCGGTCAGTTTCGCAATATCAGCACGGTGTTTAGCAACCGATTGTTGAATATGAGTAGATTGAGCAGCAAATTCTCCTAATGATATACGACGTTCTTTAAATGTGTGTAGCTGTAAGGACAAAAAACAATGAAATAGACATTTAACGTCACAGCGTTTAAAAAATAAGAAAAAAGTAGAGCAGAAAACAAGAAATGACAACCTCAGCCATTAACTTATTCCTTTCAGTCAAGGCGAGGTGTGTTTTCTCGATTTCTACATTTACCGATGTCAATCGTTCCTATAAACCAGACTTCTCAAAATATTATTCTGGAAATCACTACTCACAAAAAGGCAAAGAAGTACGGTAAAAATACATTTCGCCAGCTGCAGAAAATCAAAATTTTATTGTGGTAAAATAAGAGAACTCGGTCCTCTAGGCAAACATTTGAGGCTTCTAACAGCTGCAACTGCATTTAATAAAGCTCACTATGAGCTTGATTATATTGGTTTAAATTCCAAAGTAACCATTATTTTGGTGTCGTATGACTCTCACGGAGGTCATGTCCTTCTGTGAATGTTAAGCAACAAACATGATTACTTCTAGCTGTCGCGACCGACTTTCTATTAACCTCGGCATTGATCAAGTAATTTTCTTCGTATTTTTGTTGAGCAAACGAGAGGTGTTAACAAAAATACGAAGAAAATTACTTCTAGCGTTTTAACGTAGTAACATTCGTTGTCCTTAAAACGGATTATCACACATTCTAAGCTAGCGCAAAAAGATAGGCCACTGATAAACCTATCTTTGCAGCCAGAAAACTTGAAGTCGTTGTAAATACTATAAAATCAGGTCATTATGGTAACACTATAGCACGTACCTCTTTGTCACCAATATCTCTGTGCAACTCAGATAATGGAAAACTGTGAGGAAGATCACTCAAGTTTTCTCGCAGTTTATCCAATTCAATAGTAAGTGTTCGAAGTGAAGATAATAAGGAATCCATCAACGAGACATCTGCCTAAATATGATAGTAATCTAAAATGATAAACTAAGCAAGTATAGGATTCGACCAAAGCTCACTAGGATAGGAATTTTTTCAAGAACCATGGGTTCAGGTAACCGATAGAAGGCAGATGGATAAAGCACTCGGCGTTACTTAATCTCTGAGGAATGCGCCACGCATTCCACTTCATCAAGCATCGTTAAGGGTGAATGCATACCTGCCCTATACAGTGACTCACAGTGGCCTAGCGATGTATCGAGCCACTTCTGCTATCCTCCAGACAAGTTTGGTACCAATCTGCCGAACCCGGAGGAATGGAAGGCTTGATGAGTCTGGGGCGCAGGACAGAACCGATGTGTATATTGCAGGAAACCTCTAGCCACTTTGCCACACGTGCCAGGCCACTGATAACGGATAAAGCTCTCGACGCTGATCAATCCCTGAGGGATGCGCCATGTATTCAACTTCATCAAGCATTGTCACGGGATGAATGAATGTATAACTGGCCTTTACAATGATTCGTGGTGGTCCACCGATGTATCGAGCCAATGTTGCTATCCTCCCAGACAAGCCTGGCACCAATTTAACGACTCTAAAGAGATGGAAGGCTTGGTGAACCACGCGCTCCGGGATTGATCCCATGTAAATTGCAAAACGCCGCCGACCACTGCGCTATACGCGCCCAGGTGACCGATACACAATATTAATATGCGAATATGGAGGAAGAGGTACCATAAGTTCCACTGTCCTCTGCTATTGGTTGTTCAATCCAAAAAGACCGGTTTCAAACTTCTCAAAGGGTGGACATTAAGGTGAAAAGGAAGGCTTTACAGTTTCAACCGTTACGTAAACAGAACTACCGTAGAAAAAATCCACAGTATACGCGCAGTTCGACTTGAATGAGCAAAAGCTTGATCCGCTTGCCAAATGGCTCCCTTTTGAAATCACACGTTCCTATATATCAAAATAATATGCAGAAATAAAAAACCTTGACTTCCAATAACTGCTTGTAAAAAGAGATTCCTTTCGTGTGCGTCTCTCTCAGTTGTTGAACTTTCTCAGTCAGAGTTGCCTCTTCGTTCATATAATCACTGATCCGCTTTCTGACAAATCTCACTTTTTCTTCCATAATCTTCCTAAAAAGCGTACACGTACGTTTTAAATCAAATAGATTCTCTTAAAGAAGAGAAACACTAGAAAATCAAAAGACATGAAGTGAAAAATCAATATTAAATAAGTAACGGATAAAGAGACATCATAATTATCTATTTATTAGGTTATTCAGAAATAAATGAGCGTTTCTAGCTATATTATTTAAAATGACGTAATTTGCTTCAAACAAAACTTTACTAGTCAAAGTAAAAATTATTTGAATCTACACATTTTTGCCAACGAGAAATAAGTTTACTTCTTCCAGCTCCATCGAACTCTGGAATTTTGGAAGCGATGAACTCGCTGAAGGCATTTTTTTCGACTATTGGAAATAATCCGTTATCGATATTGACGAGGAATACGACCATGTGACCCCATTTTCACGTTGGCGCTAAGAAAACAGAGTTCGAAAATCACCACACTCGAGCTTATAAGCTAGCGTGGAATCACGCGAGCTGCAGGCAGCCAGGCAACTAACGTTCGAACTTGCAAAACAATGCAGACAGGCGATAAAAGATCTTGAAGAGAGAAGAGCAGAAGTGACAGTCGAAGCTGCCAACGCTAGGAAAAGATTATGCAAAGCCCAACGAAGCTTCGCCACTTACAAAACCAAGATGATTGCATCACGACGCCCAAACGAAATAGTTACAACGTCCAGAAAGGCAATGGAGAAAATCATTCGCGATAACTACTAGGATCTTCAACAGCCACGTCCACCTTCCATCATATGAAATAAAAGAGAATGCATATATCGCCCCAACGGTTCCCGCTTCCGAAATCAGACATGCAATTTGGTTGGTGTAGAAATCGAACAAGACCTGGTCCCGAGAGGATATGACCAGAACATCTCAATAACCTTCCGCCAGTCCTCATAAACACACTGGCTCGCTTCTCCACACGTTACCTGTCAGAGTGCAACGTTGCTATTCAATGAAAGAGCAGCAAAACCATGTTCCTGTTCAACAAGGGTTACTCCACAATAACGGCAAATATTGCCCAGTCGAGTCATCCTAAATAGGATTGACGGAACACTGGCTGAATGGCAGCCATGTGAGCAAGCATGGTATCGAAAAACATTTAGTACTATGCACCATATGCATGCGATAACAAGACTCAATGAAGCGTCGCGGGAGTAAAAGAAAGACCATCCTTCTTTACTTTCATCGGTTTAAGGAAAGCTTTCTAAAATAGAAGGAATCACAAGAAGCCCTAAACCGTAAGGACTGTCCAGCATATAAATTGTGAACTATATAGAAATTTCACAACCAAAACTTGACCATTTTACAACGACATAAAAAGAGGGGTTAGGCGATGCAATGCCATCTCGTCAAAACTACTTAGAACCACACTCGAGAACTTCATGCGAATATTGAGTGGGACAACATGGGAGTAAAAATCGATGGTCAGCAATCACACCATCTCCGCTTTATTGATGATATTGTTCCTATAACAGCAAGCAGTAGCCAGGCGGAGTGAATGCTAACCGACTTTGCTAACGATTGTGGAAAGATTGATCTTTGTGGAAATCACACAAAAATGATGCTGACGAAGAACAGATTTGTTTCTTATGACCCTTTCACGCTCAACAGAATGAATATTTCCGAATGCCAGTTAGGTCTTTCTTGGTCAAGAAGTCAGCATGATCAACGACTTAGCTCCAGAATTGAGCAGGAGGTATCGAGCGGCTTGGAGAGCCTTCAACAGCATCGAGGATGCAGTGAGGAGAACAAGGAAAACCCGACTCCGTTTGCGCCTTTCGACTCCAAGACTCTTAAAGTATGCATCAGAGACCTGGATATGTAAGCAAGATCAAAGATAACCCAGCTTCATAGAACGTCCAGTCGAAAGGATGATGGTAGAAATATCCCGTATTACGCAATTAACGGAAGGGATCCGAAGCTTCAATATACGTTAACCATCAAAAATCGAAGACGCCGTTCTTTTTCAAAGGTAACGTGTACCAGACACGTAATGCGTATGAATGACAACAGATGCACAAGAGTCGTTCGTAACTGGACTCCTCGTAATGTCAAAAGTGTTGCAGGAAGACCATTAATCCAACGGTCAGAGTTCTTCACGGAAAACCCAGCAAAAAGATATCGTGCTCAACTAGTCCCCAGAACAAATAGAACCCATCGAGCTATTCCTGCACGCGACAGGGAAAAATAGAAGTTTTACCGATGCCCGCCTGAGTCACTCGTCGATCAGCAGTACGTCGGGTGATAGAAATGATCTCATTAAAATGAAGTCAAAGTGTTAAGTGCTCCGAGAATTAATGTCCGATTTCCACATGAATTTTGAAAGTACCATATCACAACTCAGAACAAATTTTATTAATGGAAGTAAAAACCGTCAGAATCTACACTTTTGCCAACGAGAAACCAGTTTATTTATATCAGTTGCAATACTGTAAACTTCAGAAAGCAATGAAACCACTAAAGGTAGTTTCGGCCTTAACTTGGTTTTTGAAGGATCTCTCTTAAACCAAATTTTCGTGATGCCTGAAGTAGTGGTAAACAGTAGTCGGGACGTCTAGCAAGTATGGTACACATGGAGCAGAGTTTGGTATCCCAGCATTTGACCGCATGTTACCGTTCAGAAAGATTGGTACCTTTCTTTTCAGCGATAATGGGCGCATCCGTTAAGATTTCAGTATATTTTATTGTAGTAATTTTTTGTCGGTCGCGGACATTCCAGTTTTTTGACAAGAGAAAGTTATTTTGCAATAAATAGAGTGCTTTAGGGATTTTTAATATGATATGAATGCTAAAGTTTCGGAATTAGCAAAACTTTAGCAAACTCCTGCCAACGGTTTACCGCCTCATCGTTGCTGGGAGGTGTTCCTGGGTGTCGGGCTGCGATGTACAGCGGACGGATTCATTCCCACAGCAGGGTCTCTTAAACTGGGAAGGAGTGCGGTCTTTCCATCAGCAAACTTAGCTAGGAGTAAACCAATACCAAGATCCACCACCATCCTGGTATCAAAGTCGCACCTCGGAATTCCAGCGAACCACAATGGGTTAAAGAGCAAATCTCCGAAAAGTGATTATGTTGGAGCGCGCACAACCAGTGAGGATGGACCGTTCAAGTATCCAGTATGAATGCTTCTTTTCAATATGAATATTTACTATATATTACCATGGTTCGTATTACACATAACAGCTTTTGTATTTTTTCACCTATTTTGGAGTTTATGTTGAGTTTACCTCAGTATTTTTATAACCACAAATTTCACAGTTAATTAGTAATCGAAATCGAATCGATGAAAATTTTCAGAAAAAGGTCTTTTGTGAATCACTAGGTGGAATGAATGGATTTCCTGGTCTTATGGCGGAAAGGAGAAAAAGCCGCTAAATTCAAAAAACGAAGTCCCAGAGGCACCATAACCTGGCACTCGCTAGCCGGTTGTTGGGAAGATGCCGTTGTCGTTAACATCGACGAAGAATACGATCGGCTCATTCAACATCTTCACGCTAGCGCTATGAAAGTTTAGAGTTCGAAAGTCACCAAGAGACTTCTCTCTCCAGAAACACTCGAGCTATACGCCAGCGTGGAAACGCACGAGCTGCAGGCAACCGCGAACTAACGTTTGAACTTGCAAAACAATGCAGACAGGCGATAAAACAGGATTTTAAAGAGAGAAGAGCAGCAGTAATGGTCGAAGTTGCAGAAGTGGGAAAAGCATTCGCAAAGCCCATCGAAGGTTCGCCAATTACAACACCAAAACGAATGCACTCCGGCGGCAAGACGGGACAGTTACTGCGACCAGAAAGGCAATGGAGAAAATAATTCACGAATACTACTCCGACCTCTTAGATAGCCACGTCCTCCTTCTGTCATACGAAATAAAGGAGGATGGATATGTTGTACCACCGGTTCTCCCTTCCGAAATCCGACATGCCACTTCGTCAGTGAAAAATCGAACAGCACCAGGTCCTGACAGGATGAGACCAGAATACGTGAAGAACCTTCCGCCAGTCCTCCTAAACACACTGGCTCGGCTCTTCACACGTTACCTGTCTGAATGAAAGGCTCCTACTCAGTGGAAGACCAGCAAGACCGTGTTATTGTTCAAGAAGGGTGACCTATACGATAGCGGTAACTACCGCCCGATCTGCTTACTGTCTGTCATCTACAAACTTCTTACTCGAGTTATCCTAAACAGGATTGACAGAACACTGGGCAGCCATGTGAGCAAACAGGGTTTCGAAAAGTATTTAGTACGATGGACCACATCCACACTATAACAAGACTCACTGAAGTATCGGGAAGCGCAAGAGACCGCTCCGTCTCACTTTCATCGATTTAAAGAAGGCCTTTGACTCAATTGAGATGGAAGCAGTCATGGAAGCCCTTGATATTCAAGGAGTCCCTACTCAGTACGTAAATATTCTTCGTGAGCTATACAAAAATTTCACAGCAGAAATATCACCAGTCTATTACGATATTAACATAGAAATCAAAACAGGGATTACACAAGGTGATACAATCTCGTCAAAATTATTTATCGCCACCCTCCAGAACGTCATGTGAACATTGGGATGAGATAATATGGGAGTGAAAATCGATGGTCGGCAGTTACATAATCTTTACCTTGCTGATGACATCGTCCTTATAACACCAAACATTATCCGAGCGAACCGCATGCTTGCCGACTTTGGCAAAGCCTGCGGAAAAATCGGTCTTCGACTAAATCTCACAAAAACGATGTTCATGAAGAACGGATTGGTTTCGTATGCCTCATTCGCGCTTAACGGAACGAATATCTCCGAAAACCCCAGTTATATCTACCTAGGTCGGGAAATCAATATGATGAACGACCTAGCTCCAGAGCTGAGCAGAAGAAAACGAGCGGCTTGGGGAGCTTTCAAGACCATCGAGGATGTAGTGAAGAGAGCAAAGAACACCCGACCCCGTGCCCGCCTTTTCGACTTAGCGGTACTTCCTGCCCTAACGTATGCGTCAGAAACCTGGCCGCTGCGTAAGCAGAATGAGAGGTCACTCAGCGTTATCGAACGCGCAGTCGAAAAGATGATGCTAGGAGTATTCCGTTCCACATAAGTAAGAGATGGGATCCGAGGCTCCGAATTGTGTCATCGATCAAAATCGAAGATCAAAATCGAAGATGCCGTTCTGTGGACCAAACAGTCGAAGGAAAGGTGGGCCGGATACGTCATGCTTTTGAACGACAGTCGATGGGCAGGAGCCGTTAGTGACTGGACTCCTCGGGATGTTAAACTCACTGCAGGAAGTCCACCGACCCGATGGTCAGAGTTCTTTACAAAGAGCGTTGAAGAAAGATATGATGCTCGACGACTCTCTGGAGCGAGCAGAATCCACTGGGCTACTCTTGCACGCGACAGGGAAAATGGAAGATTTAGTGGCGCCCGCTCGAGTCACTCGACGACCAACGGGATTACAGATGATACAAGTGATCCCTACTGTTTTGATCTGCTTTCGACTAGCTATCGAACAACTATACAGAGTTCGGCAAAGAAAGAAAATCTATCTAGAACCTAGAACCCGCTGAACTGGATATGAACACTGCAATGTCCTTAGGGTCGTTTAGTCGAAATCGCTATGGACATTATAGTGTATATAAGGGGCGTTATGGGTTAATTACCTTCTACATTATCAGAGTAGCACAGAAGCTGTTACTAGTGAGGGGACTTGACGTCTCTTGAGTGTAGAGCGAAATGATGCAAGAGCAATGCGCAATGATTTCAAGGCAGTCCGCAGTCTGCGGGAAAGTTAGGTGTTGATCCGCAAAGCAGTTATTGAAAATAAGGCATTACCATGAATTTTTTAATCAGCTCACGCAACCTGGAGACTAAAAAGGTAGCTATGTGACTAAGCAATATGACTAAGATTATCTAAGATAAGATTATTAAATCGAAAACTAACTACGATTGATCTCTCAGCGTGGATAAAAATATTTCTCAACCGCTTAGAAGAAGGAATTGTAGATTTTAGAGACAAAGTATCCTCCAAACCAAACGAAAGACTAATCAGTACTTTACTATACATCGCATACAGACTAAAGGGAAAAGCCCGTACCTTGCTTATTTCGAAAACCCACTTCATACTAAAGAAAAAAATCAAGATGTATCTACTAAAGATCACGTACTTGCACTGGTCCACAAACACTAAAGCGTTAGCAAGTCGACGTTCCTTCTCCTCTGCTTCTTGTACTTGTCGCTCGAGCCGTTCAATGTCATGAGGCATTGATAAACTCATGTCCAGCAGCTGAGATGTAAAATTTAAGGCGATTCTATGAAGGAAACTACCAATGATACTATACCTTTCCTGATAATTCGCCAGCTCCTCCCTTATTTGAAAAACGGCGTTCACATAATGGACAACATAACCGCTTCTTCGTTTCCTCGCTCCACGACTCATATAGTAACTGTAAACAGTAGTGCAGTGGAACTTAAGACACAACCCTTTCACAACGATTACATGTACTTTTGTGAGAAAAGTAGGCTAAACTCAAATATTGATAAAGACGAATAGAAAATTAGTTGTACAATATCCCAGTATTTTAATGGTTGCACTAAAAATTATTAGAAATAACCATACTTTGTACCAAACGAGGCTTTGCACTAAACGAAGCTAGTTCATCAGATCACTGCATTAAATTTTATTAGGAAGCACACTTACAGCTTTCGTACTCAGTGAAGCTAGTTCCTTACGAGATTTGGACAGTAGATGACGAGTTTCCGACAAACTGTCAACTACATCATGAGGAGAACAATTGCACAGCTGAAGGAAAACTACTATGGATTCCATAAAAACTTCAAAAATAGTTAAAATAACATTATATCATTGAATTGTAACCCACGTCAGATATTTTCTCCTTCAGCTGTTCTACTTCGCTCAGTAGCTTTTGCTCCTCCACTTTTGACTGTTCGATAACTTGATTTGCTCGATCAAGATCTCTTTCATACCTTTTCAATTCACTTTCAGCTGCGACATTTGAGTCTTCTACCGACTTCAGTTTTCTATTTACATCAGTACTGAAACGTTTGTTATTCGTAAATCTAACAAAAAACCATTCAAGAATTCATTTCGCCGCATTTTTTTCCATTCTAACAAATTTCAGCACAGTTTCTTAAGAAACAACTGATACATTAGTTCTAAAAAACTCAAGCCGGTAAGACACCACGCTGTCGTTGACGTTCCCAGTTGGCGGATGTGTGACTAAACATGAACCAAAAGTGCCCATATTTCTAAGCAAAAAAAGAAATGATCTTGATAAAGATTGCAAGTTTCCAAAAAAAACCTTGCCATTTAAATCGTTACTCAGAAACCTTCACAAAGCCGTCAAAGACGTCTGCGATTGCACTGGTCTGAAGAAAAACACTACCTGTTGGCTAAATCTGGCCGTTTCTAGTCCATCGTTTGTTTCGTTTTGATCATACGTAAGCAGTATTTATCCAATATAACACTCCCATTACCGACGGGATAGTCCAGTGGCAGTGACGTCATTAATCAAGTGGACGGAGGTGATTCCAATGCGCCCCGCGCTCACTAGGCCTCTCGTACCTCCTGGACCGCGAAAGTGATACCAGACCTATCCGGGAATAGCTCTGTTCACGCAAACCAAGTGAAGAAGTCTACCTCGGCTACAGAACTCCGAAAAGAATCGACTCAGCCAGTACTCAACGACATTCATAACAATGACGAAAACATTACGAAAACCCTAACGCAGTAGTCGAACGAACACATGAAAAGTTCAGAGACCTTCGCGTAGGACGGTGCGAGAAAACGAGTAAAATGCAAGAATTAGTAAGATCTTTCACGCTAGACGTGAAGAGGTTATGTAAAAAAAAATAATCAAAAACGGTGAACGTTTATATTTCTATATAAACCCAGAAGGTGCTCCAAATTGGAGAGCAGAAGTCGTGAGACCACCTGCCAGATCGACTTCATCCTGGGTCTTAAGGAAACACAAGATGGCTTCGATTTCGCTTTTAACCGGCTCTCCGCAATCTGGAAACATGTCCGTATCTTCGTAATAACCGACTGATCACCTCTAGTGAGAGAGATCCGTTAGCGAACACGATTGGCGCTGATTAATATCCCTTTCATATTTTATGAGCAATCGAGAGACTAAAAGAGAGCAACATTAGATCTGTACTCATCGAAGCAATAAACAACAAAAGTACCTCCACGGTCCCACAGCAACCTCTCCAAACGCCAACAGAAACGTTCCAGTATGTTTCTCCAAAAAGGTTTTTAAACGCAGCTCAATTTCGTCCTTTTCCGATTGCTTCCTCTCCATTTTAAATTTAGCTTCTTCGAACTTTTCAGCGTTCAAACAGCGCTCTCGAAGTAGCTCAATCTAAAGTCAATCTGAACCGAGTAAGACACCTTACAATCAACCTGACATTAAGCTTTATGAATGGAACATGCCTCTTTTTGTAGACTCTGTCGTTGTGAATGCAGAAACTCAGTCTTCTTTTCATCTATTTGAGGCAATTGTGATAGGAACGACTCTATATTGTCTATTTTACTGGCGAGTTCGACAAGTCTGAAATACTGATTGAGAGGATAGAATATCGAATAAAGCTATACCGTTTTAACCCTACTCAGCCTGAGATGAAACAGCATCTTGGAGTTTTCTCTCTTCAGAACCAATTTGGCGGTTTGCCTGTTCGATTGCGAAGGAAACGCTGTCCGCCTCACAAGTTAGTCTTGTAAACTCCATGTGTGCTGCATCCACTCGACTTTGTTCATTTTCCCGAGCAGTTGTTGAAACGTTCTATAAAATACTGCTGAAAAACGCCAGCTTCAAAGAATTACCATATGTTGAATCTCATACGACCAATAATTGTCCGATAATCTTACTTTGTTATATGGAAACTCCGGATACAATCGATACTACACAAATGATACAGTGGTAATGATTGTGTGGATGCTACAAGTGATACATTGTTTTCCTGATAAAAACATAACAGTAGGCCATTGTGCAAAGTTGTAAACAAGGACAAGAATTCAGAGACATATTAAAGCGAGGACAAATAACAACACCTACGTACACTGATTGTAGTGAAATACAACCACAATGATACTGAGATATCCGCAAACCTTGGACCCTGAGCCAGATCGAAACATGATTACGCTTTGCGGAGGCTCGCGTATTACACGGTACTACACGAAAGGGTAAACGTATTTCGATTTGGACCCGAGACCAAATTTTGCAAATATCTCAACATCGTAATAGTTGTATTTCACATCATACCCTGCCGTTAAAAATTATAAGAAGCAGAAAATAAAAAGTTAACATTGTGACTGATTAGAGTATTCAAAAAATAAACAATGTTTACAAATGAGGTCTGTTCAAGAAAAAAACAATCCTACTACAAAAATGCTTCGGTTGTACACACCTTTTGAGCTAAACGTCGAGAAAAAAGTATAGCAGATTCTATCTAACAATGAAACTCACTTTCAAGTCTTCCATTTCTTTTTCTTCAGAGGAAATTCTATTTCGAAGTTCATCAACATAATTTGGGCCATGAAATCCGTATGCGGAAACCAATTCGTTCTCAATCTTGTGAACTTCATTCTGGAGATCATTGCAAACCTGACCAAGAACGATCGAATGACCAACAAAGACCGCTTCAAACTTCCATCGTCATACGAGATGTATTATTTGAAGACGAATAAAGGCGTTAGTAAATACTAACCATTTCCATACCCATGGCTTTCCGAATTTCACATTCTGCCTCTTGCTTCTCCTTTTTCACTAGAATTATGTCTCTCGAAATGCTCTCAATCTTCTTCTTCAAATGGTTCCGTTTCGATTCCAGCTCATGAAGTTCGCTGGAAGAGTCCATCTAAATGGAACATTATCAAAATAAGTATATTGCAAAGATACAAGCACTCATACTCAATGTTAATATACTCCCACCATCTTAAATTAGAAAGTCACAGAAACAACCACAGAAAAAGCAGTAGTAAGACGTATTCGCATCGATTTTTGAGTATTTCTGTTATTAAACTTTTCACCACCTGGGTAGGGCTTGATGTTACGGCCTACTAGTCCTCGGTTTCAATAAATATTAGACGACGGACAATAGTAAGACTTATTAAAGCAAAACCATGCCAAAGTACGGATCTCACAACAGGTAAACACCGACCAAAACATTTTCTTGTGTACAACGACTTCCTCCTAGTGTGATAAGAGGAAGAAATACAACAGAAACAATAATTAAGAATTTAACAAAGACAGGACTTTGCACTAAGCATTATCGCTGTCTTACCAACGGTTTACCGTCTCATCGTGGCTAGGTGTTCCTGGATATCGGACTACGATGTATAGAGGGGGATTCATACCCTGGCAGTGTCTCCCAAGCTGAGGAGTCCGGCGTTTCCATCAGGAAGCCTAGCTATGAATAAACTAATACCAGGATCCACCACCGTCCTGGTATCAAACTAATCGCATGGTGGCGAAATTCCCTTTGATCCACAACGGTGACGACTGCTTGTCGTGGTGACGACCTGGGCCAGACTTTGGCTAGGCTGGCCTTGGGACTCCAGGGAACCACAATAGATAAACTAGAAAAACTCTTGAAAGAAATGGGAACCTTTCTAGGGTCCGCACAACTAGTGAGCATGGGCCAACCACGTAACCAAATAAGTATTGTCGCTGTAAAGCACATTGTGTTAGAAATACATCGATAAGAAGAGAAACACTATGGAATCCCATAATACTTTCATATACTACACAATCGACTAGAAAATTCACCAGCCTCATGAATCTCTGCCCTTAAATCATCTTCAGAACCAGGATAAGGAGCCACAGTGATACATGAAAGTTGTTCACTAAGCATGCGCAGCTCGGCTCGCTTGACTTCTTAAAAGATTGAGCTTTTTCAAAGAATATATTGCACAAATAATAATGGTGGAAAGGATATTCGGTCCATGAGTAATAGAAATGAGTCGCAAACCTGCTTTACGTTCCAAATTCTCCAGCTTTAGAATATGTTCGTTGGAATTCGCAATTACTTCAGCACACGATCTCAGGGTCAAGTCTAACGAGCGAATTTTCTCTTTCGAATCTTTTCGCAGGCTTTCGCACGACTCCCGTTGATGCAGATACTTAAATTATTTAAACAGCACTACATAAATTGGAAGAGGGAAATCCACCCCTGACCTTTGCCTTCGACTTGAGCACCATTTCTTTACATGCCTGTTTTTCCATTATAGCCTTCAACTGCTCTTCCTAAACGCACCTGTGATCGAGTAGAAGATGTGAAAAAATATAGTGTATGAACCAACACAATCTTTCTTCATTTTTTTCATAATTTCCAGAGCTTTGACGAATCTAGTTAGTTGGAAGATACGATCGAACCTTAGTTTCAACTCTTTTGGTTCACTGAGAGGCCTGTAGACATACATTATGAAAAGCAAAACTTCCAACAAACATCTTAATAAGAATAAGTACAAACCAATCTGACTCTTCCTGGTGACAAAAAATAACATTGTCCAGTATTGGAGCTGGAACCCCAAGAAGATGGACAATCTGAGATGAGCGGATTTGAAATGGAACGATTAAAAAAGGACACAAGAAATAGCAGCAATCGATAAAAATCGGAACATACTTCTTTCTGGAAATCAGCCACCTTTGATGAAAGGCTGCTAACCTGACCGTCGCTGGTAGTTATCTGTATGTTGAACTCATCAGATTTACATTGCAGTTTACCAACCTGTAAATCTTGGGATATGATCTAACTATAGATTTGAAGGAAGAATAAACCACATATCCTAAAACTTATAGTGGCACTGCAGTAGATAAAAAGGATAAAACTCTCGGCGCCGACCAATCCCTGAGGGATACGCAATGCATTCGACTTCATTAAACATCGTTGAAGGTGATCGAATGCATATCTAGCCTTTACAATGAGTCGCAGTGGCCTACCAATGTGTGGAGCCAGCGCTGCTATCCTCCCAGACAAGTCTGGTACAAATTTGCCGATTCAGGAAGGATGGAAGGCTTGATGAGCCTGGTACGCGGGGATCGATCTCATGTGTATTTCAGGGCGCCTGATCACTGCGCTACATCCGCCCTCTGCAATAGACACTGAGCAAAATATTGGTTCGCACACAGAATTTAACATGGTGTCTTTTTGCTGTAGTGTTCTCACAAACAAAAAAGTCTTGCGTACCTTCGACATCGTGGCGTTTACTCGCTTTGTTGCGACACATAGCCGTCCTTTGCAATCACTAAACTGCAACTTTACCATGCCATCAACTCGAGGTTTTAGAGAAACCTGAAAAGCAATCAACGGACAATGATGACAACAGAACAAATATGAAAGACTGAAGCACTAACCTCGGCCTTGAAACTAGAAAAAGCATAACATCAAGCTATAGCGTTTTTGGTAGGAAACAGTAAATACTCTACAAAGGAAGAATGTGACACGTGCAGTGCTAAAGATTTCGAGTTATGTGAGATAGCTAGCGAACCACAGAAATTTACTAGCAGTTAGGCACTAGAAACCTCGAACTAATAACGTTAAAGTATAAGAACAAATACATACAAATCTACAAACCACAGGCAAAAAATGAGGCTTGAAGTCTACCAATAACTCTTAAGGAATCGCTTCTAAGAACTGCTGCGTAAACACAAGCCTAGGCAAATATGGGACAAAAATTTCGGCTGAAATATAGCAGTATTGAACGTGAAGGGGATAACAGTACCAAAAGAAAATAATGTTACCAGAAAATGGCATCTGACCTCTAAACTGTGCACAAACGACGCCAATTTTCCAGATGGAAGCGCACCGGTGGTGATATAGTTTAGTGCTTCAATGAGGGTCTACATGAAAAAAAACAAATCTGTACAAAGGATACGAACTCGGAAACTCACGACTCACAGTTTTGCCACTTCCATTCGGACCACTGATAATGGTGAGAGGATCAAGAAATCTGATCACTTGTGTCTCCTCCTCAGAGCATCCGACACTACGCACGCCCCGTACCATCAGCTACAGAAAGAGGTTAATGGCCGCATATTAGCTTATTTGTTAAATGTATCCATATTTCTTAGCCAGATCAGAATTTGCAGCTCTTAGCACAAGAAACATTCAGTACTCACAAGGCAAAAAAGTAGATGTCGAAGAGAAAAACGTGAAACATGTAGAAGAGGCCGGCGTTTGATGGCAAACTTAATTACTTGGGTAACTGGATGGCGTCCTCACTGATTGTGTGGGCCCCGGCATAATCTCTATTTTTTCGAAGTTTTGCGAGTTTAGTCATTGTGGTTCCCCAGAGCCCCGAAGTTAGGTAGGCAAAAGTCTGCTTCCAGTTGTCACCACCACAGGCAATGGCCGCCCCTCGGAATCAAAGGGAGATTTACCACCATACGACTAGTTTGATATCAGTACCATGCCAAATTCTAGTATTGTTTTACTCTTAGTTGGGCTTCCTGGTGGAAACGCAGGGTTTCTTCTCAGCCTGGGAGACCTTGCTGGGAGATGAATCTCCCTGCTGTACATCGTAGCCACACACCCAATGACACTTTCAAGCCACGATGAGGCGCTAAACCTTGGGAGAGATGTAAACCTAAGACCCGTAAACGCGAAAAAAGACTGTCAACCGGATCAGACTATGGATGACATCTGACAAGAGAACAAATGGCAAATATAAAACTCCTCGTAGTGGTCGTCCGAATTGATCATTTCTTTGGGATGGAAATTCAATGAAATTAGGAAGTCGGTATACGTTAAGTCAACTTTGCTATAAGACGATTTGGGATGAGCACAGCAAAAAACGAAAGAAAAAAGAAAAACTAGGTCTAGTAAGTAAAAGACAAAATCAGGAGTCTATAATATGCAGTATTCCATAGCTGAAAAATATATTACTCACTTTAGCCTGTTTCTATCAAACAAATTTCATAGCTCACCTGATGAAGCAACACCATCTATCCACGCTTCGAAATAAGTAACAACCTTAAAAAGAAGAAGGAGATGGGTCCATATCAGCATTGAAATTTCCCTCTTATTATTAACAATTCCGTAATTACGTCCAATTTGCCACAATTCACGTCATTCCAACGAAGTACGCAGATACGACGGCTAGTTTGTTAAACGCATTGAAAGTGAAAGAAATGCACTTCAACGTTTGCCTTCCATTGCTTTAGAATCCTGTTCTTCAAAATCCAGTACCACCTGTGTCACCTCTCGTGCGAGTGATCGTCGAGTGGCTTGAACCTTTTTTTTCTCCCTTTGTGTTCGAGAGGAGCCCAGAGGGTTCTGCTCGTTCTAGGGACTCGTTGAGTATCATATATTTCTTCTAAGGTTTTCGTAAAAAAAAAGCTCTCACCATAGGGTTGGCAGTATTTCTGCTGTGCGTTTGACCTCACAAGGAATGTAGTCACTAACGCCTCTAGTCCATCAGGTGTCGTTCATACGCGTCACGTATCTGGCACACCTGATCTTCGACGTAATCGTTGACGTTATTCAGAGCTTTGGATCCTTTCGCTCACTTGTGTGATACGGGACACTCCTCACGTTGTTCTTTCGACGGCGCGTTCAACAACGTTGAGTGGTCCTTCTTCCTGATTGAGTAGCGACCAGGTTCCTGACGCATACGTCAGGCCAAGAATCATGGAGTCGAGAAGATGAGCACAGAGTTGAGTGTCTCCACTACATCCCCTCTTCACTACATCCCCGATGCTCTTGAAAACTCACCAAGCCGGTCGTTCCCTCCAGCTCAGCTCTGGAGCTAGGTTGTTCATCATATTGATTTCCCGACCTAGGTAGATATAACTGGAGCATTCGGAGATATTCGTTCCGTTGAGTGTGAATGGGGCATGCGAAACCAATCCATTCTTCATGAACATCGTTTTTGTGAGATTTAGTCGAAGACCAATCTTTCCACAAGCTTTATCAAAGTCGTCAAGCATACGTTCTGCTTGGCTAATGTTTGGTGTTATGAGAACGATGTCGTTAGCAAATCGAAGGTGGTGTAATTGACGACCACAGATCTTCACTTCCATATTTTCACGTCGTTATTAATATCGTTGTAGAATGGTGATATTTTGAGAACTAGCTGAGAGACAGGCGAAACGAAGGATCCTCATGGTGTGGTGGCGAACGCGTTAGTCCCCAGAAAGGACAATAGGGCGTTCGTTCCCCACCTCAGACACGGTCTGGAGTTTTGCAACTACCTCAGCTTCATTGTGGTGATATTTTGGTTGCGAAATCTTTATGTCGCTCACGAAGGTTCTTCATATACTATGGAGGGAAGCTCTCGCTCTCCAAAACTTCCATTACTGCTTCTCTTTCAACTGACTCAAAAGGTTTGTTTAAATCGATGAAGGTGAGATAGAGCTCTTATGTGGAATTTTTGGTACAACGGGAGATATCAGTTAGGCAAAACCTTCGATTTACTATGATGTGATCTATTTCGTTATGGTACTTCCGATAAGGAGACTCCCACGTTCAGCGTTCAGTTCGAGAGATTTCTGCGATTGTGAGTTACCATGGCCTTGATCGTTATGACCAACTCAGGTGGCTGTTCACCTTTCTCGTCCATTCTAATCCACATCTTTTCATCCGTAATCGTCCGATTCCAGTTGTTAGTTGTTCGAAAGAATCGTTGTTCATGGACAAACTCGTGTTGGCGAGTATTGACTAACGCCGCCAACTCCTGTATTGTTGCATGTTACGAGGAACAGTTTTTCTCCGATGTCATAAAGCGTGTTGAATGGGCAACGTCCTCTCGTCCGAGTCAGTCCGATGACGTCGTACCCTAGTTTTCTAGCCTGCACTATCAGGTGCTCAATGAGGGGTTTGGAGGGTTCGGATGCAAGTCAGTTTGAATTTTAGGCACAGATTACAACGATAGTCCTTCCTTCTAGGTTTAGGGAGCAAGGAGCGGCCTTGTGATTTTAGCGTCCTTTCCATATTTGTCGTACCAAACGCTGGCGTATCGTAGGCTTTGCAGGGGTAAAGGTAATCAACGCCATTCATTTCACTGTACTTAGCACTTGATACTCACGTTATGGCATGCTGAACTCTGAACGTGGGAGTGGGTATACTCACGGATTGCCCTCGTCTCTCTCCCTAACCGCCTTCCGTATACCTCTCTCTCAATAGATTGCAGGTTTATGGCCGAACTAACTCGTGTAGAATACAATCCGCTTGAGCGAGAACTCATCCACACACAGCATGTATGAAGATGTTTTCGTAAGCACAGGAGATATGTGTAAAATCGGTACAGCAGAAACAGAGGGCCCATCCTGTGGATCCATCTGCGTCTCAGGAAGGCACAGAATCTTTTTTCGGTCCGTATTTAATTCCCTATTTACCACGTAGCCCAATTTAAAACCCACAAGTGATCCCTCTGTGAGCGAGGACCGCAGAAAATTCAGTACACTGTAAATAAATGTATTAACACTATAACTATACAAGTTGTATGGCGCATTTGCCTGTTGCATTTATAATCTTGGGAGTTATCGTATAACTTGGCCACCGGCCACCTTTGCACCCATCACCCTACTGAAGTAGTCTGTAGTATTTTATTTGCTTGAGGAACACGATGAATGCCACACATTTGGTATGAAGTTTTTATTTTCAGTTTTTGAGAGAAGAATTCTACGGTCTGCATATGCATAGATTTAATCCGAACTGACCTTCCAAAGGAAAACTCCGGACTGTGTGAATTTGCCGGCCTTCGCCTGAATAAATCCTGTTCTACATCCCATTTTGGTATTCATGAAAATCCCATTCACAAAGAAAGAGGGAGGGAGAGATACGATCAGCTAGTAAAAACCGTGGAATTTTTTTTATAAAAACTTTACCCACTGGTGAGGTTGAGTAGGTTCAGATAAGGTTTAAAAAAATATAAGACTCTTGGCGTTGACAAATCCTTGTGCGATCCACTATCCATTGTATTTCATCGATAAGCATCCTATGAATACATATTTCGTTGTAAAATGATTGGCGGAGGACACCTCTAACCACTAATACACGCTGTCGGGTGAATAGGTAAGAGGGACAGCTGTAGTCGTTTGCTGCTTTTAACGCAAGAGTCTTATAGCGCCGGTATATCTTCGATTGAACTGGTTTATTGCTGATCTGACAAGATTTTTTTATTCGTAGTCTCGAAGTGACGGTGGTAGTGTGTCTCCACGTTGTCACAATCACCTTTCAGTGCTGATGCTTGATGGATCACCACTAGGATATTCGTATGAAAACGGATGGACACTTTTCGCACTCTGTGATTAAAAAAAGTATGAAGTTCCTCCTGTGTATACTACGATGAACCTCCCTTACTATACAAATGGAAATTTTTAGTGCTTAAAAAAGGAAGGAAGTACGTAGAACGTAAAATAATGGTTAAAACCGCTTTGTGGAGTTAGGAATCCTTATTAATCCACAATAGTCGGACCAGACCAGTCAGACCCGGTTCTTTCTGATTTGGAGGCACTCCTTAGAAGTAATAATTCTAACATCGTAGGGTATCGATGCAATGGACCAAAAACAAATCCCAAGACCGACTTTCTGTTAACCTCGGCATTAATTGATAATTCAATTAATTTTCTTCGTATTTTTGTTGAGCAAACGCGAGGTGTTATTATTCTTTATTCACGAATAAGCTGACGTTTCGGCGGATTTCGCCTTCCTCAGAGCCTGGAAAGGTCAAGTTGATAGCAATCTACTCGGCTGAAACACCTCCATAACCAAACAAAGAAACTCTAAACCAAGATTTCAATCACATTGAACACAGCTTTGCGCACTCACCGCTTTCTATGAGGTCTCCACTAAGTATGTCACGTAGAGACCAACCGCACAGAAATCACGTGGAAGTATAATGTGCCCCTCACATCAGAAAAGCAGTTTTATATACTGCCCTATATCACGCGTGATAATGAGGCATTCTTCCCTGCGGTTCGTTTTCGGATTTCTGGAATTAATCCAGAGTGCCTCGAGAGTTTTTCGCGCCTGTGTTCTTGATTCGCGTGCGAGAATCGTGACAC